GCAAGAGAGCAAGCTGCTCAGCAGCTGACGGGTGAATGCTGTGCAAACACACGGTGTTTTGTAGCTACGTGGGCAAGCACAGATCCCAGTCATGAAGCAGCATCGTGTTTCGTGGCTGACGGGAACAGGTGAGTTTCTTCCAACCAAGGTTTTTTGCACCACTGCATAAATTATCCTGCTGTCTCCTGTTTTTGCTCTGGGCCCTTTCCCAAGCCCAAGCTGTTATCTCAGAGCTGCATCGGCACCACTTCTGGGGCAGCAATGCTGTGAATGGGTCTGGGGAACTCTCAGTCTTGTGAAAAACTTTGGCAAGGGTTGGTGGCTGTTTCCTCCAAAACTGGTTGTTGCCAGCCTGAAACTACAGTCCCTTTAGCTGTAACTGGTGTTGCTCCCCCCAAACTACTTTACACCCATTAAGTGAAGCCTGGAGATGCTGGTGGGCTCTAAACCAGCAAGAGATGGCAGTGGAACACATGGTGGCTGGTGGGTAAAATCTCAACAGTACAACACCTCCGGAAATGCTGGCTGAGAAGTTTCACTTCCAGAAAAAAGTCATCAGCTTGTTGGCAAAACGCAAGTGCTTGACAAGTCAAGTGATGGAGAAGAAGGAAATGAGAAGCTCTGGTGGGGTAAATGAGCAAAACGTCACAGCTTTTGGGAGGCCTTAGCTGGGAGGAGAGGTGAAAATCTCTGCTAGGCGAGGGGGCTGCAGCCTGGGGATGCACCATACCAGGAAGGTGCGGTGAAGCACCCAGACCTCATCCTTCCTTCTACAAAGGGTGCTTTTGTCCCAGAGAAGACTGAAGCCAGATTTTTCTTGGGGTGATACCTGGCAGAGAGTCAGTGTAAGTCCTGCCCAGCCCTGAGGGACAGCTTTGGTGGCAAAGCAGACCTCCCTCCTTGGCAACTGTCCCATCTTGGCCCTGCGTCCTCTCAGGATACACACACGGGTGCCTTTTTCCAGACCTCCTTCTAACAGAACATCCCCACAGTTTTCTTGCTGTGGAAACAGCCCCAGTGACTCCTGAACACCCCATCACTTCTCCAGCCTGCCTGGTTTGTGTTGTTGGAGCAGGTGGCAGTCGGTGACCTCCGTGTTTGCGCTGTGCTCACAGGGAGCGTGCGAGTTGCCCTCTCTTCACCTGTTTTTCTTGTGGTGACTAAGGCTCCCGCTGGACTCGGACGGGGGTTTCCTCTCCTGGTTGGGAAGCTGCCAAAAGCACTCAACTGTCCTTGAGCTGTGCTCTGCCGCCGTATCTCCAGAGGATCTTGGAGGGTGAAAATCAAAGGGCACCTTCCCAAAGATGGGCTGCAATGACGAGCTCTTTCCACGCTCCCAGGAAGCCTTTATGCCCTTCCCGGAGCGATATGTCTCTTCTTCTTGTGGTAAACAGAGGCGGAAAGGCTGTAAACCTGCTGCTTTCCTGGAATGGGGACCCATCCCTTTTGGTAAACAGCCAAGTAACCACCACTTGTGCCGGTGTGCTTGGTGTGGGAGGGAGAGCACACAGCAGTTGGTGACTGACTTTTGCCGTGGCTGAAGTCCAGGCGCGACGGCACGCAGGCAGGTGGCCCATGTGGGCTTTCCTGGAGGTTTGCAGGTGCTTTGTTCCCTGGAGGTCATCGTCCCTGCTTCAGCAGCCCCAGGTCTGGCGGTGGTTGGGACAAGGTGTTGCACAGCAGCAAAGGCCCATGCGTGCCCATGGCTGTCTTTGCACTGCTCATCTGCTGAGGAAAGCAGCTAAAATCAGTCCCAGGGCTGAAAGAAAAGAGGATTTACTTTGGGGGCTGGTGGCCATCACCATCTTGAATCAGAGGCACTGCACAAACAGGCTGAGAGTTTTCCACCGAGCCATGTGTTGGCTGTGCTGTCTGTCCAAACTGTGGCCGGTGCAGGGAGCAGTGGGTGCCCTCAACACCCCTGATGTGGTTCAGATCGGAAACTGCGGGTATTTTTGTGGCTGGTGTTGGCTTGGAGGGACCTTTCTGGTCCACTTCAAACACAACTGCCTCCAGCACTCAGGCAGGTTGGCTGTGGCTTTGGCTAGCCAGATCGTGAAGACCTCCACAGATGGTGATCCCCAACCCCTCTGGACGCCCATCTGAGGTTGTCCCACCCTCCTGCAGAGGAGGCTTTTTCCAATGTCCAACCTCAGCCTGTGGTCTGTCCGTCTTGTTCCCAAGAAATATGGGTGATATGACTCCTGCCTTCTCCTGAGCCCATTGTAACCCTCTGCACCTCGCAGCTCCATGCAGGGAATACCTTTCCCTTGTTTTTTTCCATCTTCTGGAGCAAGTTCCTGTAAATAAGCCAGCTATCCACTGCTGTGCCCCCATGCTTTTAGTTCTGCTTTTCCCTCCAACGTTGCTGGCCTGCAGATACCAACCTCGGTGTGTGTGCTCCCTCCATGTGACCACATTTCCAGGCAGCTTCCTCATTCTCTCCTAGTATTGATGAGAAAAGCAGACAAATTTGGATGCAAATCTCTTCTTCGATCTCTGATAACGGGCTTTTGGTTTGTCTTGGGTCTCTTGCGAACATCTTTCTCTTATGTCTCTCTCCCATTAGGTCTGAACATGTCCCAAAGCCCAGAAGGGATCTGAACTTGGGTAAAAGTCTGGATTCAGAATCACAATTCAGGTCAAGACTTTTCCTGGAGTCACTTTGGGTATCTCATCTTCAGGCTGTATCCAGAAATGCTACTACAAAGAGGAAAAGCCTGCAAGAGGTCATAAGTCAACTCTGATTCCCAGTTTAATCATGAGAAGTCTTCCATGAGCAGGGGTGGTGTTTGGACTCAGGCTTGGATGATCTGCAGTAGCAAGATCTCCAAACTGGAAATGGCCAGACTGTGCCCCATTGCCAGAGGGGATGTGGCTCTTTGTTTTACGGGTGTTGCAGATCAAGTGTCCTGGTTCAGCTAGGATAGGGTTAAGTTTCCCCAGCAGAGAAGGGGGAAGGGATCTCCAGCCGGGTTATTCATACCATGCTGACGTCAGGTCCGGTGCGAGAACTTTTTTTTTTTTTTACTTTTTCCATGGTAGTCTTGGTGGCGGGGAGCTGTTCCGTGGCCATTTGCGGTATTTCTCTGTATATAGTTTTTGTTCACTGTTACTGCTGTTTTTTGTTGTCATCGTTGCTACTGTTGTTGTTCAGATTGTTTATCACATCGTTGTATTAAATTTCTTCTTATTTTAACCCAGGGTTTGTGCCTCACTGCCAGCCCAACCGGCTGAGGGCGGGGGAGGGACAACGGCGACGTGGTCCCTGGTTCTGGCAGGGCTTAAACCACCACATCAAGAAAACAACGAAATTGATTGTGAAACTCCTTCTCACCACTGGAATCGACCTCCTTTGGAAAGGACATGGTCATAGGCGAGTTAGCAGCATGGGGCTCCTCATGGACGGTTTAATTATTTATCAGAAGTAGATGGGGATGCTGAAAAAGAAAGCCAGGTAATTCCTAATCAATACCAGACTCTGATTCATCAGTGTAGGCTCAGGAGAAGTGGTGGGAAATGGGCTGGATCTCTCCTAATCATAGGAAATTGTGACCCAGAAAGTTTGTACAAACAGAAAGAAAATAATCCTGGATTGTTTCAATTGCAAGCTGAATCCATTAAGAGGAGAAGACCATTTTTATCTGGGAGGGGCCTGGGCAGCACATCATCCCAGCTGAAAACTAGAGAAAATGCACCATTGCTCAGGTGGAAATGTTGCCGAGGGGTTTTCCAAAGCCGCCGGGAAGGCAGCTGCTGCCCGGCAAATGCATCCGCATGCAGCACGGTCCCTGCAAGGTGCAGTGCGGGACATTGCCATCAGATGGCAAAATAGCAATGAGGATGGTGAGCAGCAGCCTGCAGGAGGGTGCAACAGGCACCGGGGTGCAAGGACATGAGTCTCTTTAACGAAGTAACAAGCGGGAATGGCCTCAAGCTGCCCAGGGCAGGGTCAGGCTGGCTCTGAGGAAGGATTTCTGTGCAGAAGGGGCTGTTGGGCGTTGGAATGGGCTGCCCAGGGCAGGGGGGAGTCCCTGGGATCCCTGGAGGGGTTGAAGAGTCGGGCTGAGCCAGCGCTGAGGGATCTGGGGGAGTTGGGAACGGTCAGGGGGAGGGTCATGGTTGGGCTGAAGGAGCTTCAAGGGCTTTTCCAACCTCGAGGATTCTGGGATTTTGTGATTCTGGGGTGGACTGTGGGGCCAAATGGACTTTTGGTGTAAGAAAAGCATACGAGGATTTTACTGTGCCCAAGGGGCAGATTGTAGATGTTGGGATGTGCAGGTCTGTCTTGCGAGTTCGGCCCCTGGAGATGTTCTGCCCCTGGGCAAGGCTGAGTGGGAGCCTTGTGGGTGCAAAGGATTCGGGTCATGAAGCCCACCCTAGTTCATGTTTTTGGGTGGGTGCACGGGCTGTCTGAAGGACCCCAGGGTGGGTTTCAAACATGTCGTAGCCCAGTCATGCTTGGTGTTAGGCAACAGTTTGATAGCACCATGCCCCAGAGTCTCTGTGGTGCCACAACAGCCTCCAGCATCCAATTTCCTGGAAGCTCCTGGGATGTGAGCAGGACAATCTGCTTATTGCACTGAAACCCCATTTATCTGAGAAAGTTATGACTTCTTCTTACAAAAACAACTCGGAAAAGCCCATACATGACATCACACCCATTAAAAAAAAACCAACCCAACAATAAAACAGACCAAAACCAAATGCCAAACAGCTGGGTTCGATAGCTGGTTTCAAAGGCCAGCGGTTACACCAGGTGACAGGTGATTTTTATGCTGTGTTGCTGCTATTTGTCATAAGGAAATTGTTTTCTCCTCCAGCGAAACTCACACCCGCTGGTTTTCCGCCACGAGGGAGGTGATAGTGGGGATCCCAGGCGGAAGCATTTGCCACTCTCCTACCTGAATGGCTGCTAAAAATAGGACTTACTCAGCCAGCTGCCAGCCCTGGGTATAAAACAGGCACCTCTCAGGAGAGCCTGACAACCCTTAGTGCCTGTGGCCGAGGAGCTTGTCTTGACAGATGTCCAGAAGGGCAGAAATACTGATGGAAAGGTAAATACCAAAAGATCAAATAAAGAATGATGTGGCCAATGTACTGGAATCAATCAAAGTAGGATGGGGGTTGTTGCTTTGCTGTGATTAAATCTAGTTCAGTGATTTATTATTGGGTGGTCGGGTGGCTTTGGTGTTGGCTTGGATGAAGGAAACTGGCCTTCTTGATCCAAAAAAAAGGCCAAGTTGGGGTGGGTGGGTGTGCTTGTGCCTCCTGATGATGCTCATCTAGACTGAGCAGAGGCTGATGCCTGGCTGCAGGGTGGTTTGTACAGCTGAGTGTGCTGGATTTTGATGTCAGCTTCCCATGTACTGTTCGGTGGTAAAGAAAGTCTGGTTTGGGTCTGGTTCTCTGAAGGGTGAAATTGGTTTTGGAAGCAGAGCCAACATGAGGCACAGGCACAGCACTTTGGTTTTTCAATAGCAGCATCTTCTGTTTATTTTTGCTTCTAAATGTAGAGAAAAAGGGTGATGGGAAAGTCAGGCACCAGGTGCTCTGAGTTCTGTTCACAACCCTGTACTGGTGAGAGCTCACAGAGGGGCTATGTCACTGCAAGGTGCTCAGCCAATATTGTCAGTGACTGAGGATATTTGCAAGTGCCCACATTGCCCTTGGCCTCTCCAAGGGCTGGAAGGACCCAGCCTTGTTGGGGAATGTTGTTGTGGTTTTGTTTTTTTTTAGCAGCCAGTACTTTAAGGGGAGACAATAAAAAAATCTGGGTTGTGCAATTCACTGGGGGGATGGTGCTCCTGGTGCATAGTTTTTCATTGTAGTATGGGAACACATCGCAATGGGAAGATACAGCACCATGGTATCTGGATGATACCCTTGCTAGATTAAACCCTCTGGATGATAACCAGGCTTTCTCCCTGAGACGTGACCAGTTCGTCTCCCTCCTCCCCACAGTTTCACTTCCTTTATCAGCAGTGTCGATAGCCCATCGTAAAACCTCGCGTGTGCAGTCTGCATAAGGAGCACTCAGATAACAACTATAAAAGCAGTTGATCATTTACTGGAAACAAAAACAGTCTTGGACACCCACAGCACCCTTGGGTGCCAAAATGGGGCTGATTTCTATCATGCCCAATCTGATCACGCAGCATCCTGGGGGAAGCAAAAATCAGGCTGAAAATGTTGTTTTTCTCTGCAGCAACATGCAGGTTCTGGCTGCGGAGAAGCCTCGGTGGGATGTGGGGAGGCAGCCGTCAGGCAAGATTCTCTCACTGGACAGGCAAGGGGCCAAGAAAGTGCTGGAGATCTACGTCAGGCGCTCGCTAAGCTGTTGTGAAAACTCGCTGGTGGCCAAGAAGACACTTCAGGAAGGAGCCAGAAGGCGAGGGAGGAAGGCAGATGGGCTGCAACGGTCGAAAAGTGACTTCAGCAAGTATTCCTGTGCCAAACTCAGCCCCAGGAAGGACCAGGAGGAGGAACCCAAAGCACAGGACCCGGACAAAGCTCTGGATGATGAGAGCAAAGCCCCCAAGGAGGTCTCTAAAGAAGAGTTGGAACCCAAGAGGAAGAGCACAAAAAACTCTTCCCAGGGCAAAACCCAACGCACCTGGTTCAAAAGTTTCTTAAATTTCCTTTTCAAGAAGAGCCCTGAGGAGCAGAAGGAAAATGCAGGGCAAAAAGCAAAGGAAAAAGATGCCAAAGCTCCTCACAGCTCTAAACCAGAAGGGGGTAAAAGATCCGGAGGGGATTTGAGCACATCCCCGCCGCTGGGCAGAGCCCCGAAGAGGAGGTCCAGCCTCAAGAGGGTTTTCTCCTTCAAGAAGCACGTGGAGGAGGAGCGGGGAGAGGCGGCAGCTGGGGCAAGGGCCAAGCGACCCAGCTGCCTCCCACTGCAGCACGTCCAGGCGCCGACCACAGCAGGTGGGACCCCACCACCCTAACCCAACCCTACGGCCAACGGGACCTCCACTGGGCATCTTTGGGGAAAGCAATAGTGCTTAGTGCCAGTTCCTATCCCTACGCATCACCCTCCATTGCTTTCTGGGGTCTGGGATAGGTTTTGGGGACTGTGATCTCAACCTCCTGCCGCAGGCAAGGGTCAGCCTGCCCGTTCTTTGAGCACACATCACTGCTCTGACTTCTGAGCACAGCAAGTTACCCCAAGCACCATCCAGGCACAGGTTTTCCCCCCCTCTGGCAAATGAGGGATATAGTGGTTAATTTAAACCTGCATTTGAGACCTGAGATTAAATCTTAAGCCACTCTAGGGCCCATGTTAAGCTGCTTTCAATTTGCTGTGGGGAAGGGTGCAGGCAGCCAGCCACCGTGGCACAGCAGCCAGAGCCCGCGGGACACCCCTGTCCACGCCCCAGCCCTTCCCCTCTAGAAAAGCCGCTAAGGGGATTGCTGTGAAGCTTCAGCATATTCAAGGCAAGTTGCAACTGCTCGGTTACGGTTCAGAGAGCGCAGCCCCGCCGTTCTCCGGCGGTATGCACTAATCCAGGGTGGGCACGAGCACCACGTGAATGCAGCCACCGCTGCGGCTGCTTTTCTTTTCAATCCATGGCCAACAAAAAAAATTAATTCACGCTTCTGAACACACTTTTTCCTTCCAGCAGATGCGGAGCAGCCTGACGGTTACTACGCACGAGTCTCGGAAGAGATCGGGCTGATCGTGCAGGGCAGTGAGAGCCAGGGGAGCAGAGCACGTGGATGCGGGGAGCCGCCACGGCCGGCCAGCGCTGATGGGGTCGGTGAGTGTTGCCCTTGCAAGTGCTTCATTGCTGGCACATATAGAGAACTTACATGCATGAGACTTGTCCCCATGCAGAGCCTACACGGGACCCAAACCTGCTTCAATCCTGGCCCAGGGGCTTACATGACCTGAAAAGTCATATGAAGACTTTGGGGGAGATTTTCAGCATCAGGGCTTGATTTGGGGAGAGAAAAATTCAAAGGGGGGAGGGTGGTTTTGCTGGCTGAGGATAACAAGACAGTGAGCTGAAATGGGGTTTGGAGGGGAGGAGGTGGATAAACATTGTTCAGGGACTTTTTCCTGGGGACTAAACAGAGCATCTGGGTGTAAAGCTTGGAGAAAGGGCTGGAGATAATGTGGGATCTCTCTCTGCAGATGAAGCCATCAGGAGAATCGTTGCCCTGCTCCAGACTGCAGGAGATGAGCTGGACAGGCAGGTGAGAGAAGAGCTGTGGTCAGCTGGATGGGGTCGAGGGAATTTGGGCCAAGCTCTGTAGTGCTCTGAAATACAGCAACACCACTGATTTCCCTGGTGCAGGGGAACACTCAGTAAAACCAAGGAAATGACAACTTTTAATTCCCCGACTGGGTGTGATCACGGCTGTCTGTCTGTCCTCCCTCAGATGCCATCCTCGTGTGGAGTGAAGGCATCAACACAAGGATGACACACTGAGTTATTCACTCATAACGTGTGTATTCACTTGCTTCTTAATCAGGTGAAGGAAGATGTACGGCTACGGATGTTCTTCAGAGACATGTCCTACAGCTCCTTCAAGAACTTGGCTGATGCATACGTCCACAAGGAAATGACGGCCAGTAGACCCGACGTCAACCCCCAAGAGATCCAGTTTGCCTTCGCAGTGCACCTCACCGCCAAGGTGGCTGGTATCTGCAACCAGGCGGTGAACAGGATCATGGGCTTTGGCACCCGCTACCTGGAAGATTCGTTTGCACCTTTGTCCTACAGCAAAATTCTCCAGGTAGGGAGGAGGACTGAGTCTGGGGCTGAGCTTCCAGCAGCAAGTTAGGGCAAGTGGTGTAATTCTGGGGTGATCGACAGACCTGGGAGGGTAGCAGCCATGTTGGTTTATACTGGGGGGGAGACTGGGTGCTGGATCTTGCCCTGTCCTGTTTGCGCTGCCTTTGCCCTCCTCCAACATGACCATGGCCCATGTAGACACAAGGAGCAGAACTTTGCTCCCTGCCCACTGCGTCTCCACAGCCGGGAGATGCCCTGTAGTGCAACGGCATTGCTACAACCTGGTGTAACTGCAGCTTTCCCTGGGGAGAATTTCCTCCTAACCCCATCTAGAAGACCAATAGCATCAGCTCCATTTGGGAAGGGACCTCACAGATGTTTCCTTCTATTTCAGCAGGACAAAGAAAAGTTCAGCACAGACAACTGTGAGAGCCCGGACTGACGTCAGCTGCTCTGAAGGGCCTGGGAGGCCAAGGATGCAGATTTACTGATGGGGGGGGGGG